ATACATCCCTCTGTTCCTCCAACAGCACAGACTGCTGCTTAGACAAACTTGGAGGATTCTTGAAGGGAAGTTCAAAAACTTCACTTACCTCCCTCTTGCATTTCCTTGGTCTCCAATCTCTGCTCCCTGAAGTTTCTCACAGAAATGAGAGCATAATAATATTCTAGGTTTGTAATGGAGAAAGGAACTTCAGAAATGGCAATACTTAGGGGCTGAAAAGATGGCTCAGTGGTTAAGAGTTCTCAGCACTCACATCAGGTGCCTCCAAACCACCTCTAATTCCAGCTTCAATGCTTTCTTGTGGCCTCTACAGGGGCCTGCACTCATGCAACCCCCCCAACACACACACACACACACACACACACACACACACACACACACACACACACGCACACACACACACACACACACACACACCACACACGGAAAAAATAGCAATGTTTTATATAGAAGTTGTGAAGAAAACACTACTTTTGGTACTGTATTCTCTTTCTTCTATCATAACTCTGGCAGAATAGGAAGATCTTATGAAAATGAATAATCTTTGACCAGGCTGGTAAGATAGTTCACTTAGAGGGTAAGAATGCTTGACATGAAACCTATCAACCTGAGTTCATTCTCTAGAACCCCTGGTGGGAGGAGGGAACCGACTGCCCCAAATTGTCCTGTGACCTCTCCATGCGAGCTGTAGCATGTATAAGCTCACACTTATACACACACACCACAGAGCAAGTGGTCACTCCTGTTTGACAGTAGGATACTGGACTATGGTCCTGCAGCCCAGCCCATCTGCAGTGGCTTCGTAGAACAGCTTTCCTGAAAGTCTCGATGAAGTGGACTGGGCTCTGCAAGCCAGCAGAGGCCAGACGTGGGGGACAGCAACTTCCTGGGAAACTGTCACTTGAAATCTTTGGAAAATGAATTACATTTCCTTGCTAGTTTAATTCCCCCTCCCTTTAAAGGGCCACTCAACTAATAAAACTACAGAAAGGGAAGCATTAGTGTTTAGCAGAATACTCACGTTAGAACGAGCTCTGAAAAGCACAGGTGGCAGGGGCACGACAGGCATTGTTTTCCTTTGTCATTCGTCTTTAGAGTCCTTTGCTTCTCTCTGCCAGCTTGCTCGGGTTTTTTCCCCTTTAGTTTCCCCGTAACTTATGGATTGACTTCTCCAGAAAATCCATATTCAGACAAGTCATGAACCCCACTCAGCCAGGTCACTTATTCCTTGGCCTCCCAGTCTTATCAGCTTGACGAAGGCTGTGAAACAAGTCAGCATGAAATGGTATAAAACAATGTGTACCATATTGGTTAGCCATTGAGCTGTGGCTCAAAATCATCCAAGTCACTATCAATTGTGGTAAGACCTGAAGTCCTTCAGCAGACGCATTGGCCCCCGTACTTATGCTTTTGACCCTAGGACTTCTCCGTAGCTGCCGCACGGGTCATCAGCAAGAATTAAAATATGAGGGATCAAGGCATCCAGGCCACCACTAGCAGAAAACAGCAACCAATAAATAATTGTTTCTTTTTGCACTCCCCCATGCATAGTTCTGAAAAAACACCTAAAGCGTTTCTTCCAAGATCCTGGTGAGAACACATAATGCCCACGTGGTAGCCATCTTGATAGGCCATCTCTGCATTGTCTTCTCCTTTCCTGCTTTTACCCTGTGTCACACTTCCTTGATGTCTGGATTTTATCCCTACAAATACTACCTTAATAAAATTTCTTGTCTCAGTCACAGCTTTGGGCAAAAAACACAGCCCAGAGGCAAAGAGCTTACAGGAGGGTCTTGTATAAGCAGGTTACCCCATCATTGTTTAATCTACCCATGCTTGACTGGCTAAGTATATCCAAGATCGCCATCAAGTTGCAAAGTCTCTATAAACAAAGCAAATGGTTCAAGACTCATCCATATTCCTTCAACTGGAACTTTGGCCACCAAAATCTCTGCTGCTTTTCAGGAAAAAAAATCCCCTATCAATATGGAGATAGGGGTGTCTCTCTACTGCAGAATCAAGAGTCTTTAGTGGCAATGAGAACTTTGCATGAAAGTCTATTCTCTATGAGATTGTGGGATGTGAATATCAGATGACATTCTTAAAGGGCAGGAAGAAAAAAATCAACAGGCAAGCAATAAAATTCATGTCGAATTTTACTCAAATATGGGAGAGGAAAATTAGAAATCATGGATAAATGAAAAGGATAATGGGGCAGGGAAAATATGAGCCAAGTACAGTCGGGATAGTATTGTATACTGAGGAGATAAGAGAGTTACTGGTCAGAAAGAAAGTGGACAATCGTTTCAAAGCACCCTTTACAATTAGAATACAGAGAAACTCAGTTTAGGTTAACACAGAGAACATCTCCAGTGAAATCTCATCTGAAAAGCATTTGCTAGAAATTGTCAGTACCCTGGTGAAAAACTTAAATCCAGACAAGAGCCATAAATATGTGTGGGGAAGGTCTCATGGGTGTCATCCTTTCCCCTTACAATATCGTTAAGATGAGGCAGATATGTGACTGTGTTTTCGGGGATTATTAACTCACAGGAAAATTGAGGGGGCTTACTTTGAATGTAGATGACAGATATTTGTGATGGGTCCTACAAATGATACTGAGTATAGGGATGAGAGAGATGTGAGATGATGAAGATTGATTTTTTCTGGGCCATGTCTAGCAAAAGTCTCATTGACCAGCTGTTCACTTTTTTTTTCTTTTCTTATTCTCAGATATCCTAAAAGAGCTCCATGAATTCACAGTTAATTACAGAGTAGTTTCAGCTTCTCAATATATGGTCCTGTTCTGAGGGTTCCGGTCTTCATTTACTACAGTGTGAGCTCTATGGCAACAGAGTGCTTACCTGTGTTGCTCAGTATCACATCCCATGCCAAGAACAAAACCTAGCACAAATGTTCAGTAACTGTTTGTAAAATTTCTCCAGATGGCCCAGTTCTGTACTTTGTGTATAACCTTTCTTTGGTAAACATTTGTTGAACTGAACACCCAATAAAGAGTTGCTTAGCTCAAAGACACAGTGTCCTATATTTTATAAATCTGAATTATAGGTCATGAAGCAAATCTTTTTGAAAGTAGATCTCTGACCCTTTAAAACCATATAATAAAGACACCTTTTCTGTGCAGGGACTTTTTCTTCCTTCCCTAATGAATCCTGGACCATATCTGATGTCAGCCCCCAACTTACGAATTTTACGCTGAAGCCACCCTCTAGAACTGAAATCCATTCAAAGAGTCACGATGTATTCCAACTCAGTTCTGTGCCTTACAAGTCAGTCAGTGGTCTTCAGAACACTTTATTTTAGAGCAGAGACAGTGGAAGTCATGAGCATAAACACGGCTTAGCATGGCAGGCTATGACCACCTTGGAGAGCTGTCTACAGTGTGCATGAAACAGAATGCCCTGCCTTTCATGTCTCCACAAGGCATGAACAACCTGTGGTTATAGGCTGTGTGCACCCTGTTGTAACCAACTCAATCAATGTGACAGAGCAATGGATGAACATATCCATTGTTTACAAAGCTAAAAACAAATTCAAAACTTTCAAAATCTGATGAACTTTATGGATGTTATTGTCACTAAGACTCCCCTCTTTTACTCTACGCATACTGGCTGAGTACTTTAATTAGCTTCGTACTATTTGACTTTTAAAAGTGCCTTGGAAAGATCTAAAGTATATATATCTAAGATTATTGAAGACTCACCAGTATAGTAACATTCCTGGGTGACTACATAGGTTTGTTTTAGAATTATATTTATAATTGATAATTTATATAGACTTTTCTTATGTAAGTCATCAAAAAATTAAAATGTGGTAAAATTTCGTTCTTTTAAAAATATTTTTCTGCAGCCCAGCTAGCTTGGAACTCAGTAGGTAATCCAGGCTGGTCTTGAAACCATGGCTAATTCTCCACCTTTAACCTCCTGAGTCATGGGGTAATAGGCATAAGCCATATGTGGCAAAATGTAGGAAAATCGCTACACACACACACATACACACACACACACACACACACACACACACAATTTCATTGCACACATGTATGAAACTCAAGAATAAATGAAGAAATGTGAGTGCTTATGTATGTAATGTAACCTTCCATTTTGGAGATCAAAACAAAACAAAACAAAACAAAATAAAATAAACAAAAATATATGTATATATATTTATATATGTATATATACACACGTAAGTCTCTTTATAACTTTGCCTATTAACTTTGGAGGTAAAAATATATAAGTGATATTTAAAATCCTAAGAAGCCTAAAGTGGTGATATGGATAACGAAGAGCAGAGTGTTGAAGACTAAACCTAGAGTAATCAAGCTTTTAGCTACTGCGCAGAGAAGAATCAGCCGAGAAGCCTAAATAGTAGGTGGCAGAAAAAAGGAGGGCCGCCCAGAATATATGCTGTTCCAAAAGCCAAGAGCAGACAGCAGAAGTGATGGGCTTTATCAACAGTGCAGGTGACACAGAGTGGACCAGTACTGATCTGACAACATGCTGTGCAGTGTAACTTTGACAGGAGGGACCGGAAGCTCAGCGGGGAAGAAATGGCGACAGAATGCGGTTAGGAAGCAGGATGGTGAAGAGTAGGAAGAAATGTACCCAGTTTGACTGATGGCAGATCTGCCATGGTCTTTGCCTTCAAGAAGGGCTGGAAAAAGGTTATTTTGTTGTTGTTGTTTATTTTGTTTTGGTCCCCAAATGGTTATATTTACATATGTAAGCACTCATATTACTTTCTTTATTCTTGAGTAAAATGTGACAAATTTGTTCCCTATTTCTCCCCTCCAAATCCTTCCACAACTCTTTAATATGTTCCCTTCCCAACTTCATGTCTTTTTTAAAAATAACCCACTAAGGCCAATTGGTGCTGCCTGTGTGCACATGGGTGTGGGCCATCACTGGAACATGAGATGTCCACCAGTCAGTACTTCAGAAAGACAATTTACTACAATAAAGAAAACACGCAGTTAATAGTTTCTTTAAGAACACAAACTTTTATTAACTACCAGATTTCCAGATTGTTTACACACAACTTAAAGATATATTTTATATATGTCACCTCATAAGTTAAACTTTTCAAACACGTTGTTTAAAGTGCAATTCAAAAAGAATCATTTGAAGATGGTTTTTTTTTTTTGCCCTATTTCCCAAATCTTCCAAGAATCATTAGAAAGTTACAATAATATGTGAAGGAATATGATAAACGTGCCCTTTGGAACAAAACTCAGATTTAATAGGCAACACGAATGGTAGAGAAAAGTGTCCCTCTGTCATCCAATCAGATTGTCATGCACTTGTGGAATCCACTGTGTGTGTATGGTGAAGCTGCAACATAGTAACCATTGCTGCTATGTTGAAAGCCTCTCTTTTCATACGAAAGAACTGGATAAAGAAGGTACTTTAATGAACACCAAAGTCGGGTTCTAGGATTTGTATCTAATCAAAGATATCTTCTGGGCTGCTGTTTCTCAGGGTTTCTAAAGACATGTTTTCAGCAGAAGCGTGCTCCTCTTTCAAGGTCTGAGGCAGTGAAGAGGCAAGCCTAGAATAAAAAGAAAACCAGGATAGTTATCTTTTAGGTTTTTTTAAAATTTCTAATTTTTATTTTATTTTTTAAATTGTACATAATATATTCTAATTAGTTTCCTCTCCCTCTACCCCTCCCAGTTTCTCCCCAACTCCTTTCTCATCCAGATACACTGCTTTTCTGTCTCTCATCAGAAAACAAACAGGCTTCTGAAGGATAATAATAAAATGTAATAAGATAGAATGAAAACTAACACATTGGGTTAGGGCAAAACAAACAAACACAAGGAAAAGAGCCCAAGGGAAGGCACAAGAAACAGAGACCCACTCATTTTCACACTCAGGAATCTCATAAAAACACTAAACTGGAAGCCATAATATACATACAAAGGACCTGTAGGATAAAAGGCGAGAAAAATAAAGTTAAATAAAACAAAAGAAAACACAAACAGATAAAATTAAGCAACAACAAAAATAACTTGAATTTCCCGTTTTCTCTTGGCCATCTACTGCGGTGCATGCAGCCTACCCTCAAGAATAGTTTGTATACCCACTGAGACTCCAAGGTGAAAAATAAATTTCCATTTGCAAGCAGTTTTCAGTTAGACATGGTTCCTGGGTCAGGGATGGGCTTGCGTCCCCTTTTCTGTTCATCTCTAGGACCCCAGCTGGTTCAGACCCGTGCAGACCTGAGCACGCTGGCCCAGCCTCTGACTTCATCTGTGCTTCCATCAGGTTGATCTAGAGCGCCTTGTTTCCTTGGGGTCTTCCATCCCCTGTGGCTCTCATAGTCTCTCCATCTCCTCTTCTGCAGGGCTGAGCCCTGAGGGGAGGGATTTGATGGAGTCATCTTGTTAGGGTGGAGCCTTCCCAGGTCTCTCACTCTTTGCATATTGTCTGGCCATGAGTCTCTGTATTTGTTTTACCCATTAATATCCATGTTGTCCCTCAGTAACTGTTCTCTCTGATCACATGAGTTTCCTCTAATAGTCAGCTGATCAACTGATTACTTGAGTATAATTAATAATGACTCCATACCCACCGCAGATGGGGACAAAATGTACTGGTCCACCTCATTTATTGGGTCTACATATAATTACACAGTAAACCAAATTCTATTTAGACTTCACTGGATTTGATGTCTATATGTAAATGCAGTTTGTGAAACCAAGACAATAGCCTTGTTCACTTCATGACCACTGTGGCTGGAGGATCACAGAGCTCAGTCCAAGGAAGCATTACTCAGTATTAACTAGAGATGGTTTCAGGGGTAGATGTGATTAGAATCACATCAATCCATTAAATAGATACCTCCATATTTCTAGCTTCAAAGCCATGGCTAGCTTACTATAGCTGAAAGAGTCCAGGGCTGAAGTTCACACGTGGGTGTGAACCAGTGGTGTGGTTTAGGCAAGCCAATTCATCCAATGGGACTTCAGCTCTCTTTCCTGAAAAACTGAGGTGATGTTTTCCTTAATAGTGATGAGAAGATGAAACTAGGTGATGCAAAGGAAAATGCTTGTATATTCCCACAAGACACGCAGAAACTGTTAATTATCAGTGGCTAAATACTGAATAAAGTATTAAGATCTGGTAGTAGCAGAATAAAGGAGTAACAAACTAAAATCCAGAAATATCATCTATGTATGATTACTTTTAAATCCTTGCACCTACATTTAGTGACACAGATTATTAAAAATGAATTTACCATCCAGTCCTCCTTGGTCTCTTGACTATGCAGAATTAATCATGACTCGCTACCCTCAACATGGGATGTGTCGTTTTTACCCCAAGTAAGCCAAGGGTAGATAACCTGATTGTGTCAAGGTGCTATGTATTAATACAGTGTCAAAATGACAAGTACAACCCTTGGGAATTAATGGGAAATGCAGATGTAACTATCATAGCATGTAACCAAGTATCTAAAATGTACTTCATAAGAGGAAAAAAAAGGGATACTGTATACATAGCAGCTTATCATTACACACACACACACACACACACACACACACACACACACACACACACACATACACACACACACACGTTTTCATACAAGTATAAACACATACAAATGCACACACATTTTTTTCTCTAGTCTGAGATGTCTTAGTTGCTTTTAGCTCTCTTGGGTAAAATAGAGGACTGAGTTATGTCAATTATAAGTCAGACTTGGAAAGGCCTCTGCAATTTTGTTCACTGTCTAGACACTGTACCCCTAGAAAACAGAGGTCTATCAATTCTGTTTTGAAATATCAGCAGAGGATGAAAGGATTATCCTGAAGGAACAGACAGAAAGAAAGATTCCCCATCCTACACTTACACCTGCTGTCTGTCTACAGCCTGGTGCTTAAGAGACAGATTCAAGCCTTGTAGGGGTCCTGAGCCCTGATAGGTGCAGCAAGCATGGCGACAGACAGGAGTGTACAATTCTCAGGCCTCACATCCACAGTGAGTCAACAGAGAAAGTTCAGAATTCTGTCCACACAAAAGAAAAGGTAATTTTTCACAAGTGACAACTATTTCAGAGATGTTCTGTAAGTTACAGAAGACAGAAAAATTAAAACAAAGTTTTAATTTTGTACATCTTTACTACTTAGGATTCAGGTAGAGGTTCAATGGCAGGTTAACAAAAATAAATGTGTAATAATATCAAGGCTTCCAGGGGATGTCATATAACTAGATACAATATTGTTGCTAAGATATTCAACATCTGAAATTACTACTGAAAACTTGTCAATATCTGCCAAAGATAAGAAAATGTTTCTACCTGTGGCTCAGGAATTCACCACTAGGTAGACACTTAGGACATATGTACATGCACACATACACATATATAATCATAGAGGTGCTTTTTAATAGTAAAAAACTAAAAACTAAACAAATGTCTCAACAGGAAAATGGCATATCTATTTCTGAATTTTCACATAATAGAATATTATACAGCTACACACAAGCACAAATCTTAATGAGATATTGATCAAGGCACAAAAGAATGCACAGTACCGCATGGCTCTACCTAAAAGTCAAAATCACAAAACTAAGCAATACTGATCTTTGAACAGTAGCATATGTGCGAATGTGTTGTGTGCACACACGTGTGTGTATACAGTATATATCTGTGCACTTGTGGGTGCTCTTCTATATCTGCTCTTCCATGAGATGTCATTTCTGGGTCTTTTCAGCTCCTCTGTGACAATTTTCTCAGATTTTGTGGCTTTGGCTGTGGTGGGGAGGTTCATAGAGAAGAACAGGAGATTCAGTGCCAGCTTAGAGAGCTTGGTTTGGAAGTGAAGGGATCTGAAACACCAGCAGGTTATCCATCTCCTTGGAGGGAGGGTATGGTAGGGAAGTGCTTACACAGGAACAGAGCTCAGGCATCTTCAGAGGAGGGCAGACATGGCTGTCAGTGCCTCATCACTGGTCACTACAGCAAAGGGGAAGGGGAAGAGATACCCAGAGGAGGGCCATCAAAGAGAAAATGCATTGATATGGACACTGGAGATTAACACTGAGAGGACGGACAGAGAAGTGAGCAAAAGGAGACAGAGCCGTGACTCGAGACAGGACTAACAACTTGAGCTGCTGCCGCTTGACCCAGGTCTGGCTCTCACTGTAATGCTGACTGCTGAAGCTCACACTTTAGGTAAATTATTTCACTCATTATTAATTATCTGGTGCTGAGAAGAATAATCTGGAAGGAAACTGTTAAGCTTAAGATTTATCATGGAAGGACAGGCAGTATTTTCTCAGGAAGGAAGAAGTATTAAACTCCCAGATCGCAGCCATCACACATTGAAGTGCTGAACCATCATCACCCAGGCACCTCAGCAGGACAGCTGGAGCAACTGTTCTGCTGATGCTAAGAACAGTCTACACAGTTAAACTTGGCTTTACTCTCTCTCTTCGTCCTGGGGCTTGAGTAGTGGCACATGAGCATCTGCCTGTAAGCACATGCACAGCACACACACAAACACAGAAAATGCAACTTGAAAAAGTCGATGTGGCCAAGAACTGCTGGGGCATGTCAGTATTCCTAGTACATGGGAAGTTGAGGCAGTAGGATTACATGTTTGACGTGAGCCTGGGCTAGCTTGTAGCTCACAAATCAAAAGTTGATCTCTAAAAGCTCCCCACTCCCCCCTTAAAAAAAGAAGCCTACTATCCAATGGTTTGACTTTGGATGCGTAAGGTCAAGTCTTCATGAGAAAGACTAAGAAAAATCCCACAAAACCCAAAGGGGGAAAAAAAAACCCATAAGACAACAACAACAAAACTGAATCAAAAGATAAGGTCCTGCCCAGATGAAGCAAGAAGACCACTATCATACTGACTTTGAACAGAGTTCCTATCATGCATTTTACAGGAAACTTATGAACTCCCAAACTCAACGACATGACTACCATTCAAATAAAATATTAAATAATGAACTTATAAATTAGATGTCACTAGTTTATTTTTAAATAAGAAATTAGTACTTAGAGATATATTGAGTGTTAGGACAGGAAGAGTAGCTGACCGATTTCTATCTGACCTTATAAAAACCAAGGCTTCTCCTAAACAAACTAATGGACTGAAGCCACCAGGACCCAGTAAAAGAAGAGGCTCACACTGTCTGGAATTCACAAGTCTAGACGTCATTTCATTGGCCTGAGAAAGTGAAAGAAGAGGAGCAGACTCTCCTGGCAACCCAAGTGGCAAGCAGGAGCAACTGCATTCATTAGTTTCAATTAAATTCATACCTATCTTCTAATACACATGACCCTGCTGTTCAAACATGAGCAAGAACACAGAAATGCCATTTGGAATATGTTACATGAATAAAACAAGAAAAGAAGAAAAACAAAAAGTAGTCATATTTAACCCTATAATGCACTTAATGATTTATAAACATTGTAAAAGGATAATTCTAAAAATGTCCTGTAAAAGTATCTAGAATAGATTTGAAAAGATTACGGATGAATGAGATGGCTCAGCATGTAAAAATTGTTGCCACAGAAGAATGATGACCCAAGT